AGTCAAAATGGAAGTAGATCCCAAGAACGTGCACTAATAAAATGGGGAGTGTTGAGGATCATAGATCCCCAGAACCTACTTGGAAAATGTTCTCATTTTGGATTTTTTGTGTTTTCGCGCGTGAGTTGCTAAGTTGACTTTGAGATTACACTTTCCACTCCGAAATTCCTTAACCGTCATTGGTCGATGGATTATTCTAGTATGGTTTTTTTGAAGGCCTTTCAATCTTTGTATAAATAAGCTTGATCTGTGTGTCCACAAACCTTGTATTTTCTGGGTGCTTCTAGAATACATTCTCTACGCCTTATCAAGACTTCTTACTATAGTTAGCCGGGACTAGGACAACGAATTAGAATAGCCTATCGTATCACTGAGCCATTGCTCTTCGTTCCTTTAAACGACTAAAGTTAACTCGTAATAGTTTCGCGAATATCAACTGACGTATATATCAATATATTTCTGGATGGATTTATTTATCAAGCATTTGTCTTTTAGCATTCCTATGTATTCTAAATTATAGAAGTTTCAGTTTATTATAATGTTTTCTGTTCATATGTTTATTTTAGTACCTATTAAACATTAGTTAGCTGGGGAAATTTTTCAAGCGAAACGTGCAAGATTTCATTGCGTGGATGAAAAACCCCTGTAATTCGGTACGCAGTATGGTCCCCAGGTAAAAACTCCAGGGCACAGGTGAATATTTGCCGCTGGTTCGAGATGCGGTGGATCCCAAATTGAGATACCAGTGCCGCACACCAGATCTCTGGGTAGTGACGAATGGATGCAATAGGTCAGAAATTAAGAACCTGTATCTGGGAGTCTGCTAAAAAATCGTCATTTTTAGGTCAACGCGCGAACTCTGAAAGTGGTAACTTTTTTCACGTGGTATCGTGTTTTTCGGCAATTTATCATTCTTAGGGTACTATACTGATTTAGTAGAATTTATCTGTTGTACCCGGTGCACTTTGCTACCAGAAAGCAAACCTTCTAAGTTTTCAATCAGTTAATACATACTTGTCGTTTGATAACGTTTTTAACTTCTGAATACACTAGTTTAAGCCTACTTATTGACTGACAGTGACCATTACGCTTCATAACTGAACCTCTTACTTTTAAAATCTATCTCTTCCGCCATTGATTTTTAGTATTAACACAGTTAATACACAATAATTTATACCCCTAGATATTTGAGTTAATTAGGTAAGCAATTATCCCACCAAATTTTCCATTATGACAAATAATTCGAGTAAACGAGAAATGTCTCCAACTTTTAAACCACCCAAAAGATCAAAATCTGCAAACCCTATGTCAGATGAATCTTCACTAAGTATTACAATGAAGTTCACAAAAAAAGAGTTGAATGCTCCTTTCGAAACCGTTAATAGTAGTAATAACCATGGCGGCGGGATACGACAGTTACAAGACTCACTTGCCCAAATTAACAATAAGCTTAACCTGTTAGCACCCCTCATGCGCTTATGGACCCCGAATAATGATAGGAACCTCGAGGAATTAGCCAAAGCGGAATATATCCTAGATTTTGTAGCTGAGGAAGTTACTAAAGGAATAATGACTTCCTGCAATGCGATTTCATATAACCTCCCTGACCGCACATCCTCGACTTCGCTAAAGGACACCTGTCTACAAGCGTGTGGTATGGCAAACGTCAGTTGTCAAGTCACACGCCTCAGAAAAAAATCGGACAAATCAACTTGCCCCCTTCTGTTCAAATTTGGCTGCTGCAACGACGCCAAACAATTTATCCGTTTGAGCAAAAATATTAGCTCATCAACCTTGTACAAAGACATAAAGGTTACCCCGGATCTAACGCCTTGTCGACGTCATGTAAAAAACCTCTGTCAACAAGAAATCGAACGACACCTACATTCCTGATCCCAGCTGTTCGAACGTTAACTTGACTGAATATGTCCCAAAAAACAACACAGTTCCAGCTAAAACTAATAAAATTAAAAATCCATCCCCAAAATATATTGCACGAGAGAATACGATAGAAACTGACGTTCCTTCGAAAAACACGTCCAGGGGACCAAAACATTCTCCGTCTTTAACTAAGAAGAGTGACCTGATTAAATCTTGGGTCTCAAGTAAAAAAATAGGTAGGATTCAAACCCGATTCCCACCGACTTTTCCAACTATGATGAACAGGTTCACTCCTTTAATGTCATGTGATGTGCCCCTAGCCTCTCCAAGTTATAAGACTGATAATATTAAGAACATTTTTTCTTACCAACATCTAATCATGCGCACAAATAATTATTATCCAAGAGCTAGGTGCACTGCCCAACCACCTTATCCCAGAATTATTAGTGAAAGTGGAAATGGAAGTTTTTCACCCCACACCTTCTCCAAAACACCAGGGCTTTTAGTTGCAAAAACGCTGAGAATGAAAACTCCATGCATCCTGCTCTACCAAGCCAGCTGGTAAACATGATCCCCAAATTTTGAAAAGGTCATAACAATTGGCACTCGTATATGGCTAACCCTACCCAAGTTAAAACCATTTTGTATAAATTTAGCCTTAGTAACGAGCTGTGTCATCAAGACATTACTAGAAACGGTGGTGAACTGCGATGCCAGCCAAATCAAAATTTTTATGGGATAAAGCCACTCGTGGTAACTGTTGCGCGACATATAGCTCAAGTCATTTCATACCACATACAGAATGTAAAAGCACTCTCCTCACACAATCTCAAACAGACAAAATTCTCCCCCCTTTCCCTCGGGCTCCTATCAATTCCAGTAATTTACTTAACATGTCCCCCCTGACTACTCAAACCACACTCACGTAGGTCATATTAACTGCTTCATTCAAGATACCCCAAACTATTTTAGATCAGCTGGACATTTGTTTGATATATGTCTTATTAATGCTCGTTCAATCTGTAATAAAAAGACAGATCTAGTCATGTTTGCTACTATCTGCCAACCATCACTTATTGTGATAACTGAGGCATGGACCTGTATTAATATTTGTGATCTTATTATATCTCTTGAAAACTATGATCTGTTTCGAAGTGATAGGTTACAAGGAAGAGGTGGAGGATGTCTTATATATGCCAACTCTAGCCTAAACTCATTCTCATGTGATATATTGGAATTAAACAGATTGCCAGATTCTGTGTAGATCATTCTGAAACCCTCAAATGTAGTTTCCTTACTGTTCGGCTGTGTCTACCTAATGCACCAACAGGAGATCGAGCATTATTGTCAGAAGTATTCACGTTTGTTTCATCCCTACCGTTCTCAAGGAAGGCTATTTTTGGGGACTTCAACATGCCTGAAATCTCCTGGCTCCCAATCAAAGCACCTAGACGATTCGAATCATTTATTAAATGCTAAGAGGTTGTAGAGTGGACTCAACACGTTAACGGCCCAGCCAGAAATGAAAATACATTGGATTTAGTTCTCACCAGTAATCTCATTCCTGACACTGTTAATGTTGGATAAAAGTTCCCAGGTAACGATCATAATATGGTCATATGCAGTCTTGATATGGGAGCTACAATTATAAAATGTAAATCCACTACACCTCGTAGGGACTTTCGTAGGACTGATTGGTCAAAGTTCCGAAATTGCCTCAGAATCGTTGACTGGACTAACTACTTTTCCGCACACAATATCGACGAACTAATGCATATATTTTATCACAACACAAATAGCATTTTCAACAAATTTGCACCCTAAGGATCCTGGAGACCCAGAATTCCTAAGGACTTATATATGCCAGGTCATATACAAAAACGTCTTCGAAGACATGCTTCCAGACTTCATAACCGTAATGACTTCTCCTCATTAGTAACGATGACTGAAATATGTGTCGAGGCAGAAATAACACGTAATAAAAACGCAATCTCACAGGAAAAGCGTGCTGTTCAGTTGAACTATGAATCCTCTGCACTTATAAAACTCCTTCGGAATACACTTAAATGCACCAAAGTGAAAGGAGGGAGCATATTTATTAAGGAAAATCAAGTCTATAAAGACCCTAAAAGTATCACAGAGTTGTTTAGCGAACATTTTTGTGCCACATTAACGAACGAAAACTCAACAAATGAGTCGCACCTGACCCAAACTCCTTACTGCGAAATTGCCGGTGTTGAATTTAGTGTACAGAACATTTCTAAGGCGATTAGTACACTGAAGCACGCTTACAGTGACGGAACAGATGGTATCCCAGCCAACATGCTGAAAAATGGTTGCAATGATCTGTGTGTTATTCTTCTCAAACTATTTACTATATCTCTCTCCATAGAGTGTTACCCTAATAAATGGAAGACTACACATATCATCCCCACTATAAAATCTGGGCCTACAGAGAACGTTGAAAATTACCGACCTATAAACATAACTTCGGTAGTATCTCGGGTTATGTTGAAACTAGTTAAGGCAGAGTTACTACAACATCTACTTATTCACAATCTGATATCGACCTCACAGCATGGGTTCTTGAGGTCCAGGTCATGTATTACATATCTGTTAGATGATTTCATCGATATCACACATAAACAAGACAAAGGGCTTCTAGTATCAGTCCTTTTCTTCGATTTTAAAAAGGCTTTTGATAAGGTCCCACACAGAATATTATATTGAGTGAGAAATCCATTTATGCACTTCTGAATATTTTTTTCAGCCATTCATCTCCTTCTTCCAAATGCATTTAACTCTGTTTTCAGCCAATCGCCAAATGGATCATGTTGGTAGAATCTTTGTCATCTTAGAATCAGTGAATTTACACGTGGAAAGTATTCAATACAACTAACTTTCAGAAACTGAGTATCTAGACTACTATTGTTGGGTAATATAATAGATTCGGAAATTTAAATCAACATCAAGAAGTGAGAGCAAACTAATCAGCTATCTTATATTTGCTCTTAACGGCAATAATGCTCACTGCATATTGGACGTGTGTTTTCTATTAGCGCCCGGATTAAATGAAGCGTTGACGTTATTTTCAAATTATGATGATTACGCCTTAAAAAATGGTCAGTAAACGACGTCTGAATATATCCGGTGATCCAAAAACCGAAGTAAGGTGCCCTAATCTTCAATTATCTTCTTAGGAAAAGTCATGTTGGTCAAAACCTACTGTTTATCATGCTGCTATCGTGATATTTTTGGAGTTTTTTGCTTTTGGGTTGTTAACTACTCCAATGATTTCGGTATGGCCGAGTGATATAACTTTATATCTTTCAGGTATTAGATGAAACATTTCCTAAGCAAACCTTTTTAATGAATGGTATCATACATGGAGTAAAGGGAATATTATCATTCCTCAGCGCACCATTTTTAGGTGCACTCTCAGATATGTTTGGAAGAAAACCTTTCCTACTTCTAACAGTCACCTTTACTTGTTCTCCGATACCACTTATGAAAATCAGTCATTGGTGGTATTTCACAATGGTGAGCATATCAGGTATTTTCGCAGTGACATTCTCATTCGCCTTGGCATATGTCGCTGACATCACATCAGAAGAAGATAGAAGCTGGGGATATGGACTAGTAAGTCGAAATTTCAGCACGTATATTTTCCATGCCTGAGTTATTTGTTATTATTCAGTAAATAGGCTTTCTTCTGCCTGCACAAATTCCATATAATTTTTAAGATTTTGGGTTTGTAAAACATCTAAATCATTGCCATAACAATAATACACCAGAAGCTCACAAAAATAATTGTTTTTTTGAACTCGATGTTTGTCAGCAGACTTCAATATGCCAGAGTATGACTGAGTTGTTGATGTCTATACAAATTCATCGGATGTTTCCATGTCTTAGGGATTAGATATATGTACTTAGAGCTCAATGGTATTATCCTTGAAGACTAATCCCATCTCATTTGAGTTTCCAATCAATCCAACGACACTTGTTTTTCATTCATTTGTTTTCCTGTCTTATGATGGTGATATTCAGTCTTGCTCACTTTTGTGACAGTAAACCCTTGAGCTTGAATGATACTAATCGATTAGATTCCTGTTAAGGACGGCTTTCATATTACTAGATAACATTCGTTTGAATAAAAAAGTAGCTAACATTATGAAAGTTTATTTGTCGTTTAGCATACCCACGGTGTCACCGATTGAAGTTCGGTTGCGAACAGTGGTACGTTTTCTAGACCTTCCGGGGCTACTACCGCTTCCGGGTTGGGGTTGGCGACCGCATCCTACAAAAAACTAACTCGCTAAAATACGCCAACAAGAAAAAATCATACAAACCATTTAAACTATGCTCTAGGAGTTAGGCCTTCATTTAGAAGAGTTATGACGTCTCATGATGTAAGCCGAGTCCCTTCGGAAGTCATGAGGACCCTTGATACAGCCAGACCCCTTCTATGATGTGGGAAGCCGAGAAGTAATACCCACCCTCATACCCATAAAAGCACACGTTGACTGACTGACCTGTTGATAACTAGCAGATTTTAAAAAAAAATTTCAATACAAGTTATGTTGCTGTTTACTTCCAACTTTCAGTCTACAGCATATTTGACATTCTGTGGTCAGACATTTTAGGTGTAATAATCGTGAATTAGTTGCAGTAGTACAGTTATGTTCTTCATCTTCTTTTTAAAAAAGGAATTGTAATGTTATCCTATTCATTTTCTAATTTTTCGCGTTGCTTTAAATCATCAACTTTCAAAATACTTTCAACTATCTTTCATAGGATTATCGTCGAATGTGAAAATTTGCATTCATACTTCTTCGGGCTATCTTATTCGTTCAAGTGAATTTCATGCAGTTATGTCTGGCTGGTATTACCAATGTCCAGCCACCGACTGCCTCGGTGAGCGACAATGCCTGGTGTAGGGGTAGGCTGGGAGAAATCTTTGAAATTACTGACAACTGGACTGATCCATGGTAGTAGATGTAGACTACCTGGTTGGGATCCGGGAGATGATAGTAAACGATAGTTAGAGACCTTGAACGACATAGCTCAAAATCGTTTGCAAAGGCGCAGGCATATCCATTCTCTGCGTTTTCTGAAATCCTAATCTTCTGACTTCCTCATGACTTTTTCTCTCTTTTTTAAATTTTTCCTCTGGGATATACTTCTCGAATGATATCTTCGATCACTAGTCTTTTTTATCACCGCTAGTACTTCTGCTACCTTTACTACTATGGGATTTGAATTATCAATTGCATCTCTGTGTGCTAATCGGGTATGGCAGCTCGAACCGATGTATGTACGTTGGTACGTACGAAGTCCTACATTGTAGCTGACTGGTTGATTTAATTGTTTTTTTAGTATTATGTTTTTTATCCTTTTATGATGAATGATTAGTTTAACAGTATTCTTTTTCTGTTTTTAAAACCCACATATATATACATGTAATAATCGTTGTATACCCATCCATTCATTTATTTGTCTGTAACCCCCCAAAAACACAACAGGTTTCAGCTACATTTGCTGCTAGTCTTGTCAGTTCCCCAGCAATTGGTGCTTATCTAGGACGTGTATATAGTGAAGAATTAGTGGTTGCATTAGCTACAGCTATTGCATTTTTAGATATTTGTTTTATTCTTGCTTGTGTACCCGAATCATTACCAGAAAAAGTACGTATTGGTCATTTATGCTCGATTACGACATTGGGTGGACCAATCGGTAAATTCTCATGGGGTAAAGCTGATCCTTTTGCAGTAAGTTGATGTTTTGTTTCAGATACTTTATTACTGTTATTATTCTTACGTATTTCGCAATTATATTATGTGTTTTGTGGTGTAGGAGTAGATTGGAAGAAAGCTAGGGGCAGCCAGACCAAAAACATGGCAGAAATCCATGAAGTCACTGACAAGTGGACTGAGTCATGTTGTAGGTGTCGACTACCTGGTTGGGGTCCGCGAGACGAAAGTCACCAATCGTTAGTGACCTTGAATGACATGACTCAGAATCGTTTGCAAAGACACAAGTGCCTCCATTCGTTGTGCTCTCTCTCAAATCCTAATCTGGAATCGTCAGCACCTCTACCTTTGTCTTTCTAACCTTATTTCACCTAATTATACTTCTTGAATAATATCTTCAAACCCTAGTCTTCTTCATTACCGTTAATACCTATTCTATATTTATCACTATGGGATTTGATTTGACATTTGCGTCTTAGTGCTAATGTGGTATGGCAACATGAACTTATGTACATACGTACGTAGTTCTACGTTGCAACTGACTGATATTATGTGTTTTTTTGCTTCGGGGGAGAACATCCTGTTCCAGTTTTCTGTTATCATTCGTTAACAAAGCGACCACAAACGATACCATTGTTTAGTTGCATTAGAATCATGAACCGATCAACGTTGAACTGCCATTGGTGACCTGGAAACACTGAAAGACCGTTTCGTGCAAGCGGGAATCGAACCCGGAGCCTTTGATCGTGAGTGCGAACGATTAACCTCAACAATCTTCACAACCCTATAAAATGACCGTTATCATGTGCTCACTAGTGACGAGAATTGAGAGGGTATTCTCGGAATTCTAGTGAGAATTCATGACCAATTGAATTCATCCGTGTCGTCGGGTGTGAGATAGTTACCCACCTAAGAGGTCGCTCACTATTGTTCATTGCTTGAAGCTATCTATTAACACCATTAGATGCCGAATCATGTGCCTAGAGGTTCAGTGTTCATACGCGAAATCGAAGATGGGGGTTGTATTCCCTCCTGCAAGTTATCGTGTACCCACTGCTAATGAGTCCTATACCATCATGTAACCGTCATACAATGCATCCAGGTTTGAAGTCAGTTATACGCTGTTTCTTTGCGGTTAGTTCCCAGTTCGTTAAGACCAACGTTAATCTGTCTCACTTTTCTGGTTCTTCAAGAAACACCCACGGTGTGGGCAGCGGGGAAGTAACATCCACCCTCATACTCATAAAAGCACACGAGACCAAATTGGTCACAATCAAATCCTTGCGGGTAGCTCTGTATTGCAAAAGCTTTTTTAGAAAAGATGAAATTCTGTGCAACAAGTTGAATTGTACTATTCTCAGAATCGACCTTATCTAACTTCCTCTTTCTGTTGTGAGAAAACAGCAGCATTGCAGATATTGATTGATATGAAGATAAATAGGTTACTACAGCCAGCCGATAGTACAATGATTATTCCTTTGGATCTGGCTGCGTTCTATGTTAGATATCAAATATATGATTTATACTAAGTTTGTTATTACATATATGCTGTATTTTTGAATTCAATGTAAATTGCAGTGACTTATTACTTCATAAAACATACTATGTTTCCAATAATCAACACCCCGCCTCACCGGAGCTAGTGCGCTTTCAGAAGCTGTCCAAATGCTTTGGTGCGCCTGAGAGTGGAGAGAGTTCTCACTTCCTTGATAAACACTCTCATAAGTTCACGCGTGTATAGCCACTGACAGAGAAATCCTATTCATTACTCAAAGCGTCTTCAAAGTTAGTCGTGTAGTCAACACGACAGACCTTCAGCAAATGATCCAGTAAACTGATGGTGGGGTATCAAGTTAACTTAATCTGGCAAATTTCACGAATCAGCAGTCATCTCATGCGAACAAACGAGAATAACTTTCTTAAAGATCGTTTCTTTTATACAAGGCCAGAGGTCTAAATACCATTCATTAATATGCAAAAGTCAAAATACATGTTGTTACACCCCTTCAAATTGTCATATCTCCTCATGATTTCTTATTTCTAGGCTAGTAAAAACAATATTTGAAAATAAACTTAGTGTAAAGACACCTTGATTCTATCTTTCTCTGTGTGTGTGTGTCTATGTGCGCGCGCGCGTCGTAATTGCCGATCAATGCAACGCGTGCATGTATGATTAAGTATGCCCTATATACACACAAACAAACACTGGATTTATTGATCGCACTGTGCATACATGAATACAGAGAAAACCATTAGTTGGACAAAATGACATGTGAACGATATGCGTCTTGAGAAACAAATAAGAAACCTTAGCATATTACGTCGTGCAAACACACACTCATGTAGTGTAGTGTATTGTGGTGTTGCGTACTCATAAAAATGCACATTTGTACACATAGTAGGTACTAATTTTTTTCCAATAAAAAGTGATTCATCGTTGGTTAACCAAGAAATGACTAATAATATATATATATATATATATATATATATATATATATATATATATATATATGTATTTTCAATAGATTTAAATTAAATTGTAATATGGATTATATTGTTATTGCTTTACAATAGATTTTTAATTATTGTACCGTATGGTAGTGTATGGTATATTGTTTTCTAGCATGGTTTTTCCGATTTCACATGAGTAGTATATCCTTATATGCATCACGGTGTAGAACTGTGTGAATTGGGATTTTAATACAATAAGATGTCTTGACCGATGGAGTTTATTCTGTGTCGGGTATAGGTGACAGTTAGTTATCCACTCACTGTAGGCAATGGATGAAGGTTGTTACAATATCATGGATTGATTAAAACTAGACAGCGTTAATACTAATTGGATGTCAACTCGATGATCTAAAAGTTCAGCGTTCATTTGTGACATCAATGGTCTTGGGATTGATAATTGCGTGCAGAGGTCGTGAATGTGCACTGCTAATGAGTCGTATACTAGGGACGAAACGGCCATTCAGTGTCTTTATGTTTTTAGGCTTGATCAGTTCATGATTACTTCAATATTACCGTTAAATCAAAAGCATTATTAGCCTAGGTGAATGGTAGATAGTTAGGTAGGTAATCGTAGAATGCAGTAAGCAAACATTACTATGTTCTAGTCCTTAGGTGAACATCAACTCTTGGGATTCAGGTACATCCAGCTAAAAACAAAAAAAACAAGTCCCAAGTAGGACGAAACGCGCTTCCTGAACATTCCACTGCCAACCATCTATGGTACTTCATGTATTGTTTCAGTTGGTCAGTTACAACGTAGAACTTGTGGTTTTGCTGTTTGGTTCTCTGAGCTGGATGTTTTGGTTGTGGAGCACAAACTTCTATCTGAGAACCAAACACCACCACCACAATCATCCACCTGGGCTACAAATCATCTCCACCATCTCAACGTAGAACTTAATACGTACGTATGTTATTTCAGGTTGCCATACCATATTAGCACAGAGACGCAACTGTCAATTCAAATCCTATAGTGGTAGAGATAGTAGGAGTACTACTGATAATGGAGAACATTAGGGTTCGAATATATAATTCAAGAAGTATAATTCAGTGAGTTAAGTTTAAAGAGACAAAGATAGAGATGTTGACGAATCCAAAAGATTAGGATTTGAGAGAACACAATGAATGGTTGCACATGCGCCATTACAAACGATTTTGAAATATGTTTTCCCAAGTCTGTAACCATCGGTAATTTTCTTCTCGCGGACCCCAACCAGGTAGCCTCCATCTACCAACATAACTCAGTCTGCCTATCAGTGACTTCATGGATTTCTGCCATGTTTTGGTCTGGCCAACCCTATCTTTCTCCCAGCCTACGCCTACATCAAAAAGAACATCTCTCCGTGTATTGTGTAGTTTAGAAGAGTTTGAGTTTTTTTTGATATTATGGAGTTGGTTTTTATTGAGTTGTAAACAATTCACAGACATGCTAATTTCAACTCTACTAGTTCACATTAGAGTAATTCAAATAATTTTTTAGGTGAACAGTTTCATTTCTCGACTTCTCAAATTACAATCTAATGATTGACACCTAAGAGTGATATTCTGTTCTCGTATTGAATGGAATTTTTTTTTTGAAAATTCTCGCCCCATTTTTAGAAAATCAATTTTTGAATTACCTAAAAAAAAGAGAAAAAAACACAAAGCACATTTTATGCTTTAATTTGCCTTAAGTAAAATTACACATTTGAAATTATGAATCGATCAATGTTAGACCACCATTAGAAATCTGGAAGCACACAGGATGACCGTTTCGTCTTCGTTTCTAATGGTGGGTGGTCTAACATTGATCGATTCATGATTTCAAATGTGTAACTTAACAATGTTCACAACCCCGTAATGCAATTACCTGTGCTCACTAATGACTAGCTCCGTGAGGAATCTTTTCAGAGTTTCAGTGGGAATTCTTGACTAGTGATGTTCAACGTGTTCGGGTGTAGGCAGTAACTACTGAAGACAATGTATGGTGCTGCGCAACTCTGTGAATTGGTTGAAGTTAGACATTAACACCGTTAGATACTGGGTCAGTGGTCCAGAGGCTAGGCGTTCGTGCGCAAGACCGGAGGTCCTGGGTTCGAATCCTGCTAGGTGCAGGAGTCGTGGATGCGCACTGCTGATCAGTCCCATACCAGGACGAAACGACCAGTGCTTCCAGATTTCTAATGTGTTTTCTAGCATTGATCGATTAATGATTTCAATTGCGTAACTCAACAATCTTCACAACCTCGTAATAAATAAAATTAATCACGTAGATATTTCAACGAAAGATTTTGAAGAATATACAAGAAGTGTTTCTTTTTAATCATTCGTCTACAGTACATTTTTTCTTGTACTTTTATTAAATTCTGCTAAAATAAAATGGAGTTATCAGTGGAATCCAGGTCGCATGTTTCACTCTCTTTAGATCTAAGTGTAGTTCAGAATAGATGTTCATTCCTGGACTCGAACCCAGAACCTTTGTCCTCGTGAGCGAACACCTAACCCCTAGAACACTGGGTAGGCATCCAAAGGCTTGAATGTCTAACTTCAATCAATCCACGATAGTGTACGACTATTTTCCATTGTCAGTGAGACTATAATTTAAGGACAACTTTTGACTGACACCAAAGTGACCCTGAAGAAATTCGTCTACTTAATAGAGTTTTTTTTGGTGTTATAAATCATTGTGATGAATTAGAACTGAGATTTAGAGTTAGTAGTTAAGATTTACGTCACCATTTGACATCAGTCATAGTGCAAGGAGGAATTTCGCTCCAATATTCAAGATCCGTTATCTTAAACCTGATTGGTTCATTCGTCAATTTTAGCTTCACCCCATAGTTTTCAGTGGGTAAATAAGCTTCACAGCTAACATAGATCGAACTCTGCTGATCACGACATCTTAGTAGAACGCCCACCGTTTGATGTACTGTTTAACCAACGGTTATCGGGACGAGCAGTATATCAAGTTTAAGAATTAATATCGAGTATCCGCTTCCACAGAATTGGTGTGCTCAACTTACGAACGCAACGCAACTTTCCACGATCGGATCAAAATATTGACATCAAATTACTGCGTCTCGATATGCATTATTATTGTGGATTATAATTATTATCATTATCGTATTTTTATGCTGACCAATGTGTATCACTAGTTTCGTGACGGTCAGTATCCAACCTTCTCTTAGATTTCGTTTGTTGCTCGTCCAAACAACGGTTGCCAAATAACGCCTCTCGGTTTGTAAATCAGAAGGCGAATTCGAAGTGTTGAATACGTTTATTTTGGCACACCACAAACCAGAAGCATGCTAGCGAGCGAGCTGATTGGCGAATTTAAATGTACATATATAAATACATAGTAAAATGCCTGAGTCATCCAAATATTTAAGAGATTAACATTAAAGCGAGTAGGATGAATATGCGTTTATGCGGTAAGCAATGTTGTTCAGTCCGTACCGGTTCACACAAACCAGACCATAGTTAAAAGCCAATGGTACATATAAGTTTTTGCAATACAACCGACTTGGTTGAAAAAAGTTGATCAAAAGGCTTGACCAAACTATTAAATATGTATGAATTCAAATGTATGTGGAGGCACTACATTTTTCAACCAAACATTATTGTATATTATGCCTGTTTTTCTCTCTCTCTCTTTCTGCCTGTCTGTTTATCTATTCATGTTCTATTTAAAATTTGTTCCCTTGTTTATAGACATTACGTCGAATGACCAATGATCATCTTGTCCTCATGATATGTATTACAACATTTTTATCGTATTTACCAGAAGCTGGACAATATTCATCTTTTTTTGTTTATCTACGTTTAGTAAGTGTAACACTTTATGTATGCATATATATGTATATATATTCCAATCTAAAGTTTGTTGATAAGATATGAGCTATTTAAAACCTGAACAAGGATACATATCCATGACCTCAGCAAGTGCGAATTGTGAACCTCGACCTCCCTTGTAATCGAGTGTGATGATTAAATCGCTAAACCATTTTAAGCCAGCACATCGCATGGTGTTGTACTCTATAGTCTACAAGTTGTGATTGTATGTCTGAGATAACAAAATCAAGTCTTAAATCCCAATGCCGTTTTATTAAGTAGTAAGAATCATTCGTGTTTACCATTAATATGTGTTATGCTCGTCAATTGATATGATTGAAACTATTACGAGTTCAACTTAGTCCATAAACGAGAACGCGACAACGACCTAGTGACACGATAGACTACTCTAATCCTTTGCCACGTCTAACTGAATAAGTCTTGATACAGCGTATAAAATGTATTGTATAAGCACCCAAAAAGTATGTGTCTGGCAAGCACACAAATCGAGCTTATTTATACATCGTAGAAACGTCTTTAGGAGAGCCAGAAAAATAGCGTACTCAAATAACACATCAACCAATGACAGTCGAGGATTTTCTTGGTGGGAAATGTAATCTCAAGGTCAACTGATCAGCCCATGATTATGATCCAAAATTAGGACCTTTATCAAGTGCTTTCTGGGGTTCTAAGGTCCCCAACAATATGTGACTTAATGCTAAGTACACAAATCGGTATTTTGTAAGTTAGTTAGTGTAAATAAGAAAAGTACTATCAAATTTAAAATAAAACACCCTGTCGTAGTGTAAGAGCAAGCACTGGCAGAAAAAAGATGTATTGTTTTTTTAGAATTAACGAATGTTTAGCTCCCAACTACTTTGGTCTGGCCGATAGTGAAGACAATTCACTCTCCATCCCCACATGTTCTCTTGCATTGACGAGCGTGAATAACCACTGACAACAAAGTCCTAATCATTCACTACCTTCTCATGACAGATGTTTTTTATGAAATTGAGAAGCTGAATGTTTGGTCAGAGTTTAAACCTAATTAGTGGGTAGGGGGGATCTACCGTAGAAGAGTTCGAAAACCTTGATTCCGAACCAGTGGTGCATGAACCATTTTTTAATCACTGGCAACTACCGGACTTCATCTGATGACGTTACTCCACTGCCTTGTAGATTAGACCTTGTTGGTGAAAGGTTTCGGAGGATGGCTCTCTAATAAAATCACTTACTTCGGCTTGGGCAACCACGCAGTATCTCAGCCCGCATGAAATTTCATCGATTTGTACAGTGTATAAATATGTAGGTGCCCCTTTGTGAAAAAGCATGTGTAATGCGTGCATATGTAATGTGTACAACTAGTCTTCAATCATGTATTTACATCTCATTGTGTTCTGCGAACCATGTCAGTTTTAGACTATCCTCTCTTGCTTCTCTTCGGGTCTCCAAAGCATTTCGAACGCAGTCTGTGCTTTTCATTTTCTAAAACTCTTGTCTTCAATATTAACTACCCCCTACACACAACATCCAGCCATGTACTACTTATAAGTAATTCTTGTGAGCAACATGCACCGCAATGGGACTTATATTCTCGAGATTTGAATACGTAAAGTGTGTGTTGTGAATCGTATTAGTTTCGTTATTTAAAAGGTTTTACCGCCAGAGACAGAAATCCCTGAGGTAAGCTGAGGTGTCACATGTGTGTAATGTCGATCTTTTCTAACCCCTTCTTTCCGTTTTGATCAGGTAGCATCGCTGCACATACTGGTTTTCCATAGGGTAACACCTCTGTACAGTCAGCAGTGCAACTTCGCCCTCAGACCTTGAGTAGCTACTTTTAGTCTCATCGTTCTCTAACCAACCTGTCTGGCATGGTAGAACCTTTAGGAAGGTATGTTCCAGCCAATATGGCTCGGTTGGGTCATCACGATATGCAAAAGCCCGACCATCACATCAAGGTGGCAGCTACAGTTGGGGCTGTTAAACATACAGTAATAGTAATAGTAATAATAATAATACTGCAACATTTTTAGTGCAGTTATACTGTACACACCTATAACTCAATCAATTGAATTAAAACTCTCTATCATAAAACGAGATGTAGACCTGTGAGAACATGTCTCTCTCTCTCTCTATTTCTCGCTGTGTGTGCGCATGCATCTACGCAAAAAAACGATGCTGTACTTCTGTTCTAACTGAAGAAAAAAAATATTGTATACAGTTTTTATAAGTAGTAATAAGTAGACGACTTGTAAACATTTCTGATAGACAGTTAACTAGAATTATTATACACGGGTGTATCATTCTCAAATCAATGAATAAATAAATATTTTCTTCTTGTAAACTAGTATCAACTAGATTTTAGTTTTTGTTATATCAATAAATTATATTTATGTGTATGTGTGTATGTCTGTCTCTAGTGAAAACTGTGTCTATTCTCTCTCTCTCGCATCCCGTTGATTTTCAAGGGATGTTTTGATTTTTTTCAATCACACATCGATTTGTGCTTGTGATCGATCGCGTCATTAGTGTTTGTTTCCCCAATCACCCGACCGTAGCTGCTACCTTGACACCGGGTGGTCGGGCTTGCCTATCATGATGACCCAACCGTAGGTTCTACCATGCTAGGCAGGTCGATTGGAGAACGATGAGACTAAAAGCAGCTACTCAAGGTCTGAGGGCGAAGTCGTACTGCCGACTGATTGTATAGGGGTGTGACAGGAGTAAGGTTTTTCTTTCGGAAAACCAGCATCTGCAGCGATGCTGCCTTTTCACAAGGAAGGAAGGGTTAGAAAAGTTCGACCCTAAAAATGTCACACCTCACGGATTTCCGTCTCTGGTGGTAAGGGTGCCCACTAAGGGCTTTTATGAGCGGAGCTAACACTCAAAAAACCTGTAATAAAAAGGCCGTGCGTGACCGACCTCAAGCACTTGACCCCTGGGCTCTGCGGTCACGCACCCAGGTTTCTAAGACCAACACTAATCTACCTTCCTTTTCAGGTTCCTCAAGAACCACCCACGGTGTAAGCATCCGGGAAGTGACAACCACCCTCATCAGTAACAGCACACGAGACCAAATCAGTCAAAATCGAATTCTTCTTACGCGTATCAGTTTCCTCAATCATCATTGATTGGCGTCCATTAAGTAAAAAAATTTGTTCAAAATCATGGCTGATATGTATGTATATATATGATGGTGAGGTGATTTGGTTCTAGTTTGAAACTGACAAGAAATGACACACAGACACCTACATACATTACTTACGCATTGGATAAAGCATTGAAATTTTATCAGTTGAGGTAGTTGGGACATGTGTTACGCATGCCGAACTACCGACTGCCTTAATGAACGATGTTTTTTTCATATAAGGGTAGGCTGGAGAGAGCTACAGCCGGCCAAACCAAAACATGGAATAAATCCATGAAGTCACTGTCAAGTGGACTGAGTCATATTGGTAGATGTAGGCTACCTGGTTGGGGTCCGTGAGACAATTGTAACTACTTGTTAGAGACTATAAATGATATGACTTAAAATCGTTTGCAGTAACGCAGGTACATTTGTTCTTTCGTCGCTCAAATTCTTACCTTCTAAATTCTTCATCACATTTATCGTTCTCTTTTTTAAAATTACTTCATTAGATTGTACTTCTTGAGTATATCTTCGAACCCTAATCTTCTCCATTACTGCTAGAATAGTAGTTTTTTCTAAAAAGCAATTACATTTTATTATTTCACATTAACTGTACTGTTTTCGTCTTTGCTTTTTCCCGATTAAACAAAAACAAACAATCTTTTTTAGGTTATGGGATTCACTGAAGAAAGTGTGGCACTTTTTATTGCCGTTGTTGGTATCATGTCATGTATTGCACAAGTAAGTGGAAAAAATTATTCTTTATTGAAATTATCCATGTGTTATTATTATCTAAGGCATGTTATTCTCTCACTTGGGGACACATAGGCTCCTGATAAGCAATCTACAACTGTTTTGGAGACTATCCTGTCCACTTTTTCACCAAGTGCCTTTCATTTTTTCCATATTCACCCTCCAATGTGTTCAAATTTCTACTTTTCTTTTTGTTAAAGAGAACGTTTCAAATGTTTTTTTCTTGTGGTGGTGTTTCGTTCTCTGTGAGCTGGATGTTCTGATTGTGGAGCTTTCATTGTTCTTCTACTGAACAACATCATCATCAGCACAAACTTCAGATAGGCAAAGTGTAGTATTCGAATTTCTCCACGATTGACCCGTAGCTTGTTCTGTTGACCTCGATGTTGGTTGGTTGCTGTTGACCTTGAACCTGTCGTTGTTTGTACCTTTGTTTTAATTGTATCCTATGTCGCCTGTGATTTTTCTGATTGTCTGATAAATTGGGTCAATGTCGATGTGTTTTTGTTAATTGCTGATTGACATGAGTGCCAAGCTTCTAAAAATTCTCTACTCTTCTTTATACTCCCCCTATCCAGTATTTCCACATTGTTCCAATCGAATGTATGTCCATAATTGTTCGTGTGTATTGATATAAGCGAAGAATTGTCATGGCGTTTGACTGCTAATTGGTATTCACGTAAACGAAGCTGAAGAGGCCGTCCACTTTGTCCTATGCAGTGTTTTTCACAATATGAGCGGTTGTTTATTTTGTAGATGATATTTGGATTTTCTTCCTTTGTCATTTTGTCCTTTGGTCTACATAGGATTGATGGAAGCGATTCTGTTGGTTTCTGTTCCACACCTAGTCCAAATGGCTTCAGTAGTCCTGCTGTATGCTCCGATATGTCATTTATGTATGGTAGGATGATCCGTTTATTGGTTCCTGTGTTTGATTTCGCTTCTGATGTTGGTTTCGGTTGATGCTTTTTGATGAAGTTGGCCTCTGATAACGTTTTTTCCTAGGGTTTAGGGTTTTTTTTTCTGGATCAGGTTTCTAACCCCATACGCAAACCTTCTTTATTCGCGCTTGAGACTGGTAGTTATTTGTAGAAGGGCTCTAGGCGGAGTATGTCATGTATAAGTACCATAATGTTTTTTCTCTAAAAAAGCAGTTCAATTCAATTTTACTAAGTATCTATAAACAATTTTGTTTCGATCTATATGATACAGTATGAGGGTCGTAGAGATTGTTTAATTTCGTTCAAATCATGAATCGATCTCAATTAGTCCACCACAGCAAACAACTTTTGAGAGGAAATTTCCCAAAGTTGGAGTGTGAAGTTGTGACAAGTGGTGTCACCCCATCGAATGTAAAACAGTTAGTTATCCACTGAAGACAATGGAAGATGGTTTCACAATGTTGTAGATTGACTGAACAGTAGTCCATTGGATGCCGACCCCATTGGTCTAGAGGTTATGCATTCTCATGCGAAACCAAAGTTCTCACATTTTTTTTTCCACTTACACAAGGTGTCGTGAATGTGCATTGCTGATGAGTAGTCCCACACTAGGATGAAACAGCTATCCAATGCTTTCGGGTTCCCCATATTTATGTAACACTGACGCGATATGTTTGTTTCACTGAACAAATGTTAACTAGACTAAATTTTCTGACATTACTCATCATTCCAACAACACTCAACAATTGATTTGTCTAAGCTGAATTCATTTTTGAATTTCAGTCAGTCATATACAACTTAGAGCTTCGTACGTATGTACATCAGTTCAGGTTACCATATCACGTGAACACAGAGATGCGATTGTCAATTCAAATTCCATATCAGTAGAAGTATTGTTGGTAGTGGGAGAGATTAGGGTTCGAAGATATTATTCAAGAAGTATAATTTAGTGAGATAAGTTTAGTAAGACGAAGATTGAGGTGTTGACGAATCTAGAAGATTAGGATTTGAGAGAACACAAAGAGTGGATGCTCTTGCGCTATTGCAAGCGATTTTGTACCATGTCATTCAAGGTCTATAAAAATCCGGCGAAACCCAACCAGGCAGTCTACACTTACAATAACATGACTCAGTCCACTTGTCAGTGACTTCATGGATCTGTGAAATGTTTTGGTTTGACTTAACTTTCTTCCACCCAGCTCCTACACCATACAATATATCTCATCGAGGCAGTTGGTAGTTGGGCATACGTAACTCATATCCCAACCACCTCAACTGATGATGTTACAATGCTTCATCTACTGATTTGCCTTCCTTACCCAGTACCCTCTTCCTAACAACTGTATTGCTGACTTGATAGTTCTTGGATAAACGGAGACATCTGTGATCGAAAACCATTAACGTACAAATATCCTTTTCTTTTACTCGCTATGTTCTACAACCATGAAGTAGGACGGTAGGAGACTGCTGCAAGTCAAGTGCATTCACTCTTTGTGTTCTCTCAAATCCTAACTTTCTGAATTCCTCATCACCTTTATCTTTCTCTTTCTAAATTTATCTGACTGAACTATACTTCCTGAATCATATCTTCAAACCCTAATCTTCTCCATTACTGCTAATTCTGCTACTATCTTCACCATTACAAGATTTGAACTGACAGTTGCGTTTCTGTGCTAATGCGGTTTGGCAACCTAAACTGATGTACTTAAGTACGAAGTTCTACGTTATAACTGACTGACTGAAGCGCAAGAACTACTTTTTTTTGTTTTCTATGGACTAGTTTGCAAAAAAATGATAGATTAATGGATATTTTATTTTCACTGTGCACCCTGGACAACGTGTTTCGTCTTATATATGAAGACAATTTTTAATTCAATGGGCGTTAAATGCTTCACTGGTCAATTTAAGTGATAATAACAGTCGATCAATATGTATATATGATATGATGAGATGAAATGAATTGGTTGCATTTAGTGGCTAAATAAAAAAGATCAGTTATGTGTGTATGTATGCGCATGTGTGTGTGTGTGAATATTGACATATGAAGGGTTTGCTGAACGATAAAAATGACATTCAGCTGTTTTCGCGATTATAGCCTATTTATTAGAATAATAAACATGTCAACCAGCACAGATATAATCAATTAGTATTAGTAGTCTGTACTTGATAATAGGTATGTATACATATATAGAGATCAGGTAAAAAGAAATAAGTTAATGGCTTCATGTGGTTAGGGTGTGACTCTGCTCGCCAGCTTTTTTCTACTCCACGTTAGAAGTCGGTGTAGATGGTGGTGACCAGCGTTCTATCGTAGCATATTGTAGACATCGAAAGCATTGATGACTCTCATATTCGACGAGCTTTGTTTTGTAGTGTAGGAATAGGTTGGAAGAAAGTTAGGGGCGGCCAAACCAAAACATGGCACAAATCCATGAAGTCATTGACGAGTGGACTTAGCCATGTCGGTAGTTGTCGACTACCTGGTTGGGGTCCGCGAGATGATAATAATCGATGGTTAGAGACCCTGAATGATGTGGCTCAAAACCGTTTGCAATGGCGCCGGTGCATTTATTCCTTGTGTTCTCTCAAATCCTAATCTTCTGGATTCTTCAACCCCTCTAGTTTTGACTTTCTAAACTTTTCTCATTGAATCATACTTCTTGCATAATATCTTCTAATCCTAACCTCTCCGATTACTTCTAATACTCCTACTACCTCTTCTACTATTGGATTTTAATTGACAATAATATCTCTGTGGTGATGTGGTATGGCAACCTGAACTGATGTACTGAAGTACAAAGTTCTACGTTGCATCTGACTGGCTGACTGACTGACTCTCATACTCGGACGAAACAGTCGTCTTTCAGTGCTTCCAGGTGGTTCTTTCTAACAATAAATCAATTCAGGATTTCAATGTAACTCAACAATCTTCACAATTAATTCTATAAATAAAAAAAATAATGATGCGTTTTAAATAAATTTGATCAATTTAAGTAGTTCTTATCTACTTGATTCACTAGTATCAAGTGAGCGCGTACTATGTTTGTATGAATTCTTTGAATGTTGCTGCATAATGATGATGATGTGACTATGTCTGTTAATCCACACACGCACTCACACACATGCACGCGTACATCTCTTCATGCGTGTATAATCTGTCATTCATGGTACATACACACGCATACCTCATACACAAATACAGCAAATGTAATCCGACTGTCGGAAGTTTAACTAGCGCGCGTGTGTGTGTGTGCTTCTGTTTTATCAGCAAGTGACTGAGTAAAACAGATGATTAGCAGTAGTGTGAAAATCGACACTTCTTAGTTAGATTACATACCATCTCACTGATTGTATTTGAATTTTGAAAATAAAAAGATGAAGCTAATGCAGGGTTTCGTCCTTATTGTTATGACCATCATCGTCATCAGATTCTTGTCTTTATTTGTAATGAAATGACTCCTCGACGAGATATGTGTTGCGGTGTAGGTTTAGGTTGGAAGAAAGTTAGCGGCGGCTAGACTGAAACATAACAGAAATCCATGAAGTCCCTGATATGTAGACTGAGTCATGTTGGTAGATGCAGGCTACCTGGTTGGGGTCCGCGAGACGAAAGTCACCAATGGTTAGAGACCCTGAACGACATGGCTCAAAGTCGTTTGCCATGGCGCAAGTGCATCCACTCTTTGTGTTCTATGAAATTCTAAGCTTCTGCATTCGTCATCATCTCTATCTTTCTCTTTTTAAATTTATCTCACTGAACTATACTTATAGAATCATGTATTCGAGCCCAAGTCTTCTCCATCACCGCTAATACTTCTACTACCTTTACACTACTAATGGATGTGAACTGACGAATTGCATCTCTTTGCTAATACGGTATGGCAATCTGAACTGATGTACGTACCTGTACGAAGTTCTACGTTGAATTTGTCTATATGTGATCAAATGACTAGTAATAGAATACTACTGACTTATAGACAAACATCTGATTGATTGATTGATTTTGAGTATTGTTAAGGTTGCATTGATTATTGTCATCATCATTCATAACTTGAGTATATTTTGACTGTGTTGACTACTTACAATGTTTTGTTTACTTTAATAAACTGTGATTAGTAGTAGTTGTAATTGTAGTAGTTGAAGAGAAAAAAAGCACACGCTACTCACCTATGTATTAGATCATTCAATGTAAGCGTGTGTGTGTGTGGGTGTGGGTGAGTGAATGATTGAGTGAGTGAGTAGACTTAGCTCAATCAATGTGATTAGAGAATGAAATGAATAATTATTAATAGATGATCCGATTAATTTCTTTTTATTTTATAATTATTTCAAAAGTTTTTCTGGCTTCTTATTTATTTCTATGATGTAATTAACTAGAGACGGCATTGGACGCCGACCGTAGCTGCTACCTCAACTAGGTGGTTGTGGTGACTGTCGTGAAGAGACAGCCGGGCCATACTGACTGGAACATATGTTCCTTTAAGTCCTACCATGCTAAGTAGGTCGATTGGAGTATGGTTAGACAAAAAGCAGCAATTTAAGGTCTGAAGGTGAGGACGTACTACTGACTGACTGTAGAGGTGTGTTGCAGCAGTAAGGCGTTTCCGTCGGACAAGCAGCATGAGCAGCGATGCCGCCTTCTAACAAGGAAGGAAAGGGTTGGAAAAGGTCTACCCTACAAATGTCATACCTCACCTTACCTCATGGATTTCCGTCTCTGGCATTAAGGCCATTTGAAGAGCGAAGCGAACAGTTTACAAATTTCTCATAAAAAGGCTTTGAGGGACCGGCCTCAAGCAGTTGTTCCTTGGGCTTCAAAGTCACTCTCCCAGGTCTCTCAGACCACCAGTACTGCAACTTCTTTTTCAGGTTCCTCAAGAAACACCCTTTTATAGTGTAGGCAGCCGGGAAGTGACACCCGCCCTCATACTTGTAACAGCACAAGAAACCAAACTAGTCAGAATTAAATTCCTCATAGTTTTTGGCTGACAGCATTGAAAAACTGTTCTAACTTACTGAAATGATGAATTAACCATTGTTAGACCGCGACTATTAGAAACTGGGAAGCGCTAGGCGGCCATTTCTTCCTAGTATGATGGAACTAATTGTCAACAGTACGTATCCATGAAGCTCTCACACGGGCACTCAATCTGTAGACTAATCGAGTCAGCATCTAATGTTTGACCTCTTAGTAATATCATAACTCTTGCAATAGTTTAAATATATCCAAGGACAGTATGTAAAACTTGGAGTCTTCACCTCAAACATCCAAAAGTTTCTATGTTTTCAACGTTAATCAGTTCTAGGCATTGATTTATTGTCATGTTTGCACAGTGATACTGATATATATTTGTTACACACTTGATGTGATTGAGTTCCAGTAGTCACCGTTGTGTTTTACTAGATATTTGGAAACAACTTTTCAAAGATAATCGCGATTTTAAAAAAAATATAATACGTGCTCACTAAGGACTGGGTTTGTGAGAAAATTTTCGGAGTTTTAGTGAGAAGCCGTGACCAGTTTGCTCAACCCTGTCGGGTGTATGAAGTAACTACTGTAGACAATGTGTAAGGTCGCGAGAAATCCCTATATTGATCAGAGTTCGACATTGAAACCATCGGATGCTGGCTCAGCGGTCTAGGAGTCGAACGTTTGTGCGCGACACCGAGGGCTCTTGAGTTCGATTCCAGAAACCGGAGGTTGTGTATGTGCACTACTGATGAGTCTCATACTATGACGAACCGGTCTCCCGGTACTTTCAAGTTACTTTCTGATGGTGGTCTAACAGTGATTGATTCACGATTTCAATCACAAAAGTTGTTTACTATAATCATGAGAATAACATGACACAAATATATATTCATTCTGCTTCTTCGCTAAATAATTTTTTCTCAATTTCTCTACTGTTTATAATGCGTCACATCTTTTCAAATAACACTTCCTAGACTCCAATTTTTATTGCTTCCTGAAAGTGAAAGCACAACAAGTCTATTTCTGGCCGGAACTTATACCAGATTCGGTAGTACTAAGGATCCATCTACGGTAGTTGGTTATAAACGCTGATCCTGAACCGATGATTCACATTAGCTCCATAGTGCTGAGAGAGTAAATGGTGTATGGTCTTATGGTTAACCAACGACTACCATAGGACTGCATCTCGTAACCTGTTAGTCAAAAACTTGTTTACTGGCCTCCTAATAAAACCACCTGCTTCTGTTTTTGTTCATCCTGGCAGTCGCATAAATGTCCAAGTGTTTCCTTGTTCCAATAATTATTACTTACTTACTTACGCCTGTTACTCCCAATGAAGCAAAAGCCACCGATTAGCATTCTCTAACCTACTCTGTCCTGCGTATTCCTTCCTTTCTAGTTCTGTCCAATAGTTGTTCATTCACCTCATATCTGTCTCCACTTTCCTTCTCTTTGGACCCTGAGGATTCCAAGTGAGAGCTTGTCTTAAGACTCATTTGTGTACTTTCCTCAATATGTACCCTATCCATTCTCAGCGCTTCTTCTACTGTAATCTGCATTGTTCTCACGCTCAGTAGGTTATTATTGATGGTGTTTGGCCAACAGATATGAAGTATATTACGTCAGTACACACTTGTATCGTATGGATGATTGCTTTCGTAGTTCTCCAAGTTTCCACTCCAGACAATTACTTACTTTACTTACTTACGCCTGTTACCACCAATGGAGCATAGGCCGCCCACCTGTTTTTTCCAACTAACACTCTCCTGGGCTTCCCTTTCAAATTCCGTCCAATTTTTGTTCATTCTTCTCATATATGTTCTCTATTTCTTGGCGTAATGTGTTCCTTGGCCTTCCTCTTTTCCTTTGACTTTGAGTATTCCATGTGAGGGCTTGTCTCGTGACGCAGTTAGGTGCTTTCCTCAATGTGTGTCCTATCCACTTCCACCACTTCTTCCTGATTTCCTCCTCCGCCAGAATCTGGTTTGTTTTCTCCAACAGTACGTTGTTTCTGTTAGTGTCTGGCCAGCGAATCCGAAGTATTTTGCGTAGACAACTACTCCAAACAATAGAATTGTTTTAACGTTTGTATTGAAAATTTCGGCTTTTGATGTTGATTGATAATTGTTTTTTGTGTTCTAATTCCAATTATTATGTGTTTAAATGAATAAATTATTGATCATTGATCAAAATACTATCGATACGTCTATTATTATTATTATTTCTACTACTACTATAAACAGTAGTTTTAATTACACTACTCATCATTTCCGCCACCACGTCTTTTTACGCCCTCACTCTCTCTTGTTAATTATCCAAGAAAACGTGATCGTATCATCCATTGTACGTTTTCTTTTTCGTCGATATTGGCTTCTGCTCTGTTGGTTAACACGTTTGGTTTTCATTCTTGTATTTGTGCATAAAGAGAGGAAAAGAAAGAGACAGAGAGAGAGGGTAGTTGAAATTAAAAACTCAGCCTAATTCTCAATTATATTTTTTTCTTCAAAAAGATCTGCCTAGTTTTATAGATGATTTTAAAAAATAAACAATTTCTTTTTTAAGAAAAGAGAACAAAAAACAAGACGAATCAAACTACCATACCTCTTGTCTGATAATCTTTTATCTAGAAAAATCAATAAAGCGTTTATGTATTATGGGATTTAATTGTGTGATTTATTTGATCTCGCGTTTTGGTATGGGTATGAGGACGGATGTCACTTCCCCAACTGCCCATACCATGGGAGGGTGTTTTGTGAGGGACTTGATAAAGTAGTCGGCTTATTGGTAGTGTGAGCGACCTGGGATAGTGACTTCGAAGCCCATGGGAGAACTGCTTAGGCCGGTCGCTCACAGCCTTTTAATGATAAATTTATGAAGTGTTAGCTCCGTTCTTCAAGTGGCCTTACTGCCACAGATGGAAATCCATGAGGTAAAGTGATGTATGGCATGTGTGGGTGTTGTAACGCTGCTACGTATAGCTATTCAATCCTAGCGGCGTCCAATTCAGATATCCCTATACGACCCAAAATGCTATTTCCAAATCTCCTATATACCAGAACGCAACACCGTGGGATGGAGTTGTTTATTTGGTCGAGTACAGAAGAGAGGTAGGCAGGGGAAACGGAATCGGAATCATGAAGGCTTACAGGTAGTGCGTATTTATACATTAAGGTCGAATAGGAAAGAGCATCAAAGTCCGTGACATTGACAGTTTAGGATAGCCAATAGGAAAGAACATTTGAAATGACATTGACAGTCCGGAAGCCCAATCAGAGACAACATTAAAGTATTTGACTTTGACAGTTAAAAGGAACATATTTTTGATCAATAGAAATCGACCAATAGGATTATACTTCCAAAAATAGTACTCTTAGGATATTTGGTGAATATCCTAACAGTGGGGTAGACCTTTTCCAACCTCTTCCTTCCTTCAAGGTCTCTAACCATCGGTGACTTTCGTCTTGCGGACCCTAAGCAGGTAGTCGATATGTACCAGCGCAACTCAGTCCACTTGTCAGTGACTTCATGGATTTCTGCCATGTTTTGGTCTGGCCGACCCTAGATTTCTTCCAACCCAATCTTACACATCGCTCTTCGAGGTAATCAGTGGTTGATCTTGAACAATGCTTTACTTCAAAAAAGAAACATGGCTATATATAGGAAAGTTCATGAACCATATTAAATAGATAATATAACAATGTGGCTTAATAAAATTGTTCATGTATCTGATCAAGGCATTTTTTTCGATTTCTCTCCTTCTTTTCTTTCAATAGACACTTATTTTATCTTTATTAAATCGTTTAATGCGTCCAAAACGTGTCATTATAGTTGGTTTAATATTTGAAGCATTACAATTAACACTTTATGGATTTACAACAAATCCTGTCTTATTATGGGCAGGTGGTTTAATTGCTGCAACCGGTTCAATTACATATCCTGGTCTTAGTACATTCATCTCAACTCATGCAGCTGCAGATCAACAAGGTGTAGCACAAGTAAGTTATTATTGTCACTGTCATCAGTTCTATATTCGATGCAGGTAAACTGGCGTGCCAGCCACCTCCCCCCCCCTGCCCGCACGAGTACTTGATGTATTTATTGCATTGATTAAGGGTGATTATCATGCGAGTATAAATCAATTTTCTTTGTTTTTTCTGCAAAGTCAGTTATAGTCAGTTGCAATGTAAAACTTTGTACGAGTTAGTACGCACGTTCATCAGTGTTCAAGCAGCCATACCACATTAGCGAACAAAGACACGAACAATTGTCACTTCGAATCACATAGAAGTAGAGGTAGTAGAAGTGTGAGCAGTAATCGGAATGATTAGGATTCGAAGATACTATTGAAGAACTACAATTCAGTGAAATATACTTGAAGAGGAAAAGATAAAGGTGATGAAGAATGAAGATGACAAGGATTTGAGGGAAGACAAAGAGTGGATGCACCTGCGCCATTGTTAGCGTTTTTGTGCCATGTCATTCAACCTCTATAATCATCGTTTAGTATCATATCGCGGACCCCAATTAGCTAGTCTACACTTACACCAACATAACTCAATCCACTTGTCAGTGCACACGAGACCAAATTAATCACAATCAAACCCTTCTTTTTTTCTGCAAATGTGTTGCTCCATACACACACACACACTTCAAAATACAAAGTAACTTTCAGCTGGGGATAGTAGTTCCAGCTCACTTTGAGGTTGACCAATTTCCTATGCAAAAAAGGCATTGTTGTTTCCGGTGCACATCTCCAAGCCTAACCCGAACGAAAAGGAACTTAGAAGCTTTAACTATTATCATCAAGTGTGATACCGATTGATTTTTTTACTGGTAGAGTTTAAAACATCGATTATGTTACCGTTTCCTTATTCTCAGAAATCGCATACTTTTGAATTCCGAATAGAAAACTAGTGATCTGAAGTAGCTTTATTTCAAAGGTTATTATGAATTGTTTGGATGTCACTCAGAAAGTGCGTTCAAGTCTCAAGAAATCGAAAATCTTCATTCCATCCATTGACAGCCTGATAGAATTTATAAAATATCGACGTGGCATACCGGTGATTGAAGAACAGTTATTGGGATGCTCTCAGTCCATACCAAAAAACTATAAATACACATTGTTGCAACACTTACCAGGGTTAACACTTCGTTTGTTTTTTTTCGGCATTTTGATTTGCAATGTGAGGACCGATGGTTTTACTCATGACAACTTTGACACACACACACACGCACACACACAATCTTCAGGCAAATTACACATCTCATTTCCTATGTAAATAATATCATGACAATTAGACAATAGGCATCAGTTTTTTTTAGGGAAACTCAGATCCCGCAGACTTTCAGCATTGATTAACAGTGTTGTCTTTATTTCATCTCTGAAAGAAAAACCTTATTCATTTGTCAATATTGTTTTTTCCTGTTTAATTGTTATATTATACAAGGGTCTTGTTACTGGAATACGAGGTTTATGCAATGGACTTGGACCTGCTTTATTCGGTTTATTCTTTTATATATTTCGAGTAAGTTGATGAAATTTTTTAATGTTTATGTATATATGTGTGTGTGAGTGAGTGAGTGAGTTAATTAATTTTTCCCATGAACCAAAAACAGTGGCTACATTTTTTATTTTACATTGGAATCATTGTTAGAAACCTGGAAGCACTGAAAGACTGATATAGGACGATTACATATCAGTAGTGCACATCCATGACTCTTACTACTCGCCCGATTCGAGCCCAGGATTCTTAGTCTTTCGGGCGAACGCTTGACCTCTGAACAACTGAGTCGGTGTCCAATAGTGTTAATGTCTAACTCTGATCACAGTCTAAGGATTTTAGATATAGACAGATACAACGCAGAACTTCGTATGTAAGTACATCAGTTCAGGTTGCCATCCACCATCGGCACAGAGACGTAACTGTCAGTTCAAATCCAAGAGTGACAGCAATAATAGAAGTATTAGCAGTAATGCAGAAGATTAGCGAGCGAAGATATGATTCGAGAAGTATAATTCAGTAAGATGAATTTAGAAGGAAAAAGATAGAGATTATGAGGAATTCAGGTTAGAATTCGAAAGAACACAAAGAGTGAATGCACCTGCGCCATTGCAAACGATTCTGAGCCATGTCATTCAAGGTCTCTAACCATCGGTGACTTTCGTCTCGCGGACCCCAACCAGGTAGTCTACATCTACCAACATGACTCAGTCCACTTGTCAGTGACTTCATGGATTTGTGCCATGTTTTGGTTTGGCCGCCCCTAGCTTTCTTCCAATCTACTCCTACACTGCAAAACATAGCTTGTCGCGGGAGTCGGTGGTCTAAGGATTTTATCACATCCTCACTTTTTATCTTCGGTAGTTACTACTACCTACACCTGTCAGGGTTGAACTCCACTGTTCACAATGATTCATTCATGATTTCAATGTCAAATAATGATCTCCTTAATATTGTAATGAAAAATTACATTTTACTTGTTGAATTAAACGTGATACTTATAGGTCGGATGAAGATTTGAGGTGACTAAACCCGCCCTCTCTCAAACAGAACCCAGATTAAACTAATTCATAAAACTATTAAGTGTTGATCTAATAAACTATGTAACTGGTTAAGTAGGCTGATCTACTTGAGTACATTAAACTGACGACACTAATTCATCCATTCTGTTTTTTATCTGTTTAGTTTAGTGGGGAAGGTGTCTTGATTTCCACTATTTCCTTCGTTCATACCCTCTTTTTCTAAGCACACTGTCTAAAATCATCATCTTACTGTTTAATCTTTGACGTATCTACTAATCTAATCATGCTATCAAAGTATAATGGTGTGACGTACAAACAGGTCAAGGTTATATCTATTTTGAAGATATTTGTTTATTGTTGTTTTTTTGAAACGCATACACATTAGTACAAAGTGGCAGTTAAATATTTATGCGATACACATACACGTGTGGATTGTGACGTACTTGTCGCGCTATTTACTTACCTATATTAGCCACTGACCGACATACTCCAAGTGACTCTCTCCTTCGCTTTCCTTTCGAGTTTTGCTCAATTGTTCTTCATTCTTCTCATGTCTGTCTCCGTTTCTCGGCGTATTGTGTTCCTTGGCTTTGCTGTTTTTTGTTGGCTTTGAGGATTCCAAATGAGGGCTTGACTTAGCGGGTGCTCAAACTAAAACAGGTGGTTTTCCTTAGGGTACAACTCTCCGAAACCTTGACTTAAATGTGTAATTCACAAGGCAGTGAAATAACGTTGGAAGATTCAGTCTCATGATAACTGATAACAGTTCAATTACAAGATACCGAAGAAAAGCAGTCTCTGCAAATGAGAACTACAGAGGCATCACTCCTCTCTTAGTACCAGGCAAAGTCTTCAACACGATGTTGTTGAACAAACCCTTTTAAACTCTGCTTTTGAAGGCATCTTCGATGCTACAGCGTGCCTGAGAAGATAGTTAATATCATATGAAACTGCATGGAGGACAACTCGTAGATTCTCTCCAAGTAAAGACCGGTGTCAGATGAATTTGCTTACTCTCACCTTCTCTCTTTCTCTTGGTAATCGATTGGATTATAAAGTTGTCAACATCTGAAAGGAAGCACGGTATACAGTGGACATCCAGGACGCGGCTGGATGACCTGAACTTCGCAGATGATATGACTTTTCTATCGCATACGCAACAACAAATACAAGAAAAGACAACAAGTTTAGCAGCAGCATTAGGTCTCAACATACACAAAGGGAAAAACAAGATTCTCTGATACAACACAACATACACCGACCATATCACTCTTGATGGCGATGCCTAGGGGCACGTTAAAACTTGTACATATCTGGGCAGCATCATTGATGAGCAAATTGGATTTGATGAAGATACTAAGGCGTGGATCCGCAAGGCAAGTGTAGAATTTCGACATTTGAACAATATTTGAAACTCAAAACAACCGTCTATCACCTCACACCAAAATCACAGACGTAAATAAGTAATATAGTAAGGTTCAATTATGTTGCAAATAATTGAATGAAACTGAAAAATCTACTTCATTAGACTACACATTTTAAAAATATCTGTAATCACACAAAAACTATGGTCGCTTTTAGTGTATCGATTGCGTGTACACCTATGTATGTAGACTGGTAAGGGTAGCATTTCTACAATTGAACAGCATCTGGAATTCAAAGCAACTACCAACCAACACCAAAGTCACAATTTTCAGTATAATTTTCATGACAATTCTACTCTGTGAATTGGAAACTTGGTGAACTCCGAAAGCCATCATCTAGAAGATACAAGTATTTATTAACAATTGTGTACGCAAAATGCTTCGTATCCGTTGGCCAGACATTGCCAACAACAACCTACTTTCGGAGAGAACAAACCAGATTCTAGTGGAATTGTAAACCAGAAAGAAGCACTGGAAGTGGATAACACACACATTGAGGAAGGCACCCGACCGCATCACAGTACAAGCCCCCACTTGGAACCCTCGAGGTCAAAGGAAGAGCGGAAAGCCGGAGAACACATCATACTGAGAAATGAAGACAGACATGAGAAGAATGAATAATAATGGGACATAACTAGAAAAGAATGCGCAGGACAGAGAGTAGGTTACAGACAGACAGATAGATACAACGCAGAACTTCGTACATCAGTTTAGGTTGCCATCCCCCATCAGCACAGACACGCAACTGTCAGTTCAAATCCAAGAGTAATAGTGATAGTAGAAGTATTAGCAGTAATGAAGAACATTAGCGAGCGAAGATATGATTCGAGAAGTATAGTTCAGTGAAATAAATTTAGAAAGAGAAAGATAGAGATGATGACGAATTCAGAAGGTTATAATTAGAGAGAATTATTTTTTCTGGTTAGCGTTTTTTTGGCAAGTTAGATTTCGACGGAATGGGGTCGCCAACCCCATGTCCAACCCTCCTCCTTTACCCGCTCTTGGGACCGGCAGTAGCCCCGAAAGTTCTACTGGTGGGCGGTCTATGCTCCATTGGGGGTAACAGGCGTAAGTTAGTAAGTAAGTATAATTAGATAGAACACAAAGAGTGGATGCACCTGCGCCATTGCAAACGATTCTGAGCCATTTCATTCAAGGTCTCTAACCGTTGGTGACTATCGTCTCGCGGACCCCAACCAGGTAGCCTACATCTACCAACATGTCTCAGTCCACTTGCAGAATGCTAGTCAGCGTTATTCCAAACGATTTTGAGCTATATCATTCAAAGTCTCTAATAATTATCGGTTATTATCATCTCGCCTGCCCTAACCAGATAGTCTAAATCCCTACAAACGTGACTCAGTCCACTTGTCAATGACCTCATGGATTTGTCACATGTTTTGATTTGGTCGCTGTCCCATAAGTTAAGCTCCATAAAGAAAGTCAACACCCGATAAATCGACAATGTGTTGTAATTCGCCAAATAGGCGTAATAAAAATGTCCAATGATTTATTTTGAAAAGATATATCTATTAATAAATATTATTTTGACTGTGAATAATAAATTTATCGATTAAAATTGATGCGATTGAAAAAAAAATCATCAGATATAGATACGAACAACAATTACATCAACAACAACAATAAATCACACAGTGTACAAAGTAAATTTTGAAACAAGAAATCCATTGTATTGATCCAGTGACAAAGTTGACATGTAACAATAATTGGTGGTTGTGTATTTCACACTGGTGACATTTGGTGGTTATCGAACTGTAATAATAATATGCTTCTGGCGATTGAGCAATGGACAACCACTAACCACCTCATATATCAACCGATGATTAAGTTTTTCGATGGATATCGATAAGGAATGGACGTCAAATCGTACACACACACACCTACGCACATACACACTGTGCTTAAATGATAAATCTTGTAAACATAGAATTATCCTTAAATGAAGCGACATATGAAAGGAATACTGATGTTTTCAGTCAATGCAACCGAATTATCTACAAAATTAAATGTTTCGTTGAAATTTTGAACTGATCATTGTTAGACTACCATTAGAAAGAAACCTGGAAGCACCACTGGACGATCGTTTCGCGCTGATATGGGATTACTTCTCTGTAGTGCTCGTGCAAATCGAACCCAAGATCCTCGGTTTCGCACGCGAACGTTCGACGATTAGATTACTGAGCTGATATCCAGTAGTGTTAATGTCTATTGCACAACTTCGTCCATTGTATTTCCTTAGTTACTGCCTACCTCTGAAGTTGCGTAATATCTGGGATTGATTAAAGTGAGACATTAACACAGTTGAATGCCGGCTTACTGGTCTAAAGGTTAAGTGTCTGTGCGCAAAACCGAAGATTCTTGGTTTTTTGCCTGCGAACGGGGTTCATGGATACGTTCTGCTGACAAAACGGTCGTCTAGTGTTTCCAGATTTCTAACGGTCGTGTAACTCAGAGTTTAAGACCGAATGCACAAAACAATTTGACCTGAGTCATATTATCCTACTGTAATGAAAGAAGAAGATGGAAGACCAGAGGAAGATACAATGTACTAGCCGAA